TGGTGGTGCTGGTGCTGGTGCTGGTGGTGGCGGTGGCGGTGGCGGTGGCGGTGGCGGTGGCGGTGGCGGTGGCGGTGGCGGTGGTGCTGGTTATGGTGGTGGTGGTATATAAAGTTGGTGGATTTGAACCGTACCCCAAAAGCACAGAGAATTATCGACTGACAGTGAATACTGTACACGCGTTTAGTGCCCCTGAGGCACTATTTTTCAATGTCCAACACAGATGAGGCACTATTCAAGAGAGGGCACTATTCAACAGACGGTACTATTTTTTGAACTTCTTTTTAATCCTGGTACATTCACGTCATCCAGCATGAAAACAAAAGAAGACAAAGAAGAACAGAGCCCAAAGTTATAGAAAAGAAAAAGGACCAAGGAACTACAAATTAAGCTATAATGTCCACTAATACCACCAGTTACTAAACAATCAGCTCATGCGATAACATTGCACGACACTGACCAACATCATAGCGTAACTTGTAGCTCCTGGGTCTTTTTTTCTTTTCTATAAATTTATCCTTAGTTCTCTGTGTGACAGCCTAAAGTGTACTGTTAACTATAATGGCTCGACAGAAAGGGCAACGAAACCTGCGATGTTGATCCTGAAACCACCAGTGCAATGGCATGGACAAGAATATTAGCAAAAGAACACGAAACTTGCACATGCGCTTGGTTACAAGCCGGAGGGGGGGGGGGGGGGGGAGCACTATTCAGGAGAGGGCTTTATTTTTTTCACTGGCTCTTAGAAACTGGGGCACTATTCGATATAGGACATTACTGCAGAGATAGGACACAAAGTCAAACTTACGTTCACATGCTGGCATATTAAGTAGAAGCCTGGTAGCCAGACAAGTTGTGTTTATACCAGATACAGGCGAAAAACCTACACGACATGTGTATTCCACCTGTTTGCCATATTGTACACTTGAAATGATGCGGTACCCATTAGCAATGTCAGGCACATCGCAATAGACAGCTACACAGGTCAACACAACAACAAAAATACATATTCACACCAGTGATTATACAATTAAATACCAGAAGGAGCGCGCTGCAAGCTGGCCTTTAGTGTACCTACTGCTAAACGTACCTGCAACACTTAAAATGAACTCGGATGGAGAGTCAAGGATAAATGTATAGAAAAGAAAAAGAAGTGTACGCTTCTCGTTGGCTGAATTTGAAATAAACGAGAAGCATTGTTCTTTCGAATGACGAACATCTGCGATGCGTGTTTTCTGTTTTGTTTTGTGTTTTTTCTATTTTATTTTATTTTTGATGCTGGTGTCATGGTAATGACACAGAAGGTCGCGCAAGCGCGGAAAAGCGCTTGCACAGTTTGAATCAGTCTCTTTTTTGTCTTGCATTGGTAAGTTTATTTTGGTAAAAGATTGTCTTTAAAGTTAGTTAGTTTTCATCATGGCACCAAGCGTGAGGTCCAGGTCCATGCCAAGGTCAAGGTCAGCAAGCACGGAGATCCCCGTGCAGGACGAGGTGGAGCTGAGGATGCGCTTGCTGGAATGCCAGGTCCTTCGGCTAAAAGGGGGGAAGCGCCGCCGGTCGGCCTCCCCCTCTTCCTCGTCGTCGTCATCATTGTCCCAGTCTTCGTCATCGTCCGACTCCTCATCGTCGCCAGAGCGCGTCCTGGGGAAGAGGAGGAAATCAGGCAAGTCCTTGGCGAGGAAACGCGAGAAGCCAGTACGTGGTAAGAGGCTCAGCCGGACCAGTTATCAGCACCAGTATGACTGTATTACGATGGTAGCCGATCGCCTTGACCAGGCAAAAAAGTATGTGAAAGCTGGCAAGGCCAAGAAGGCGCTGAGGGATATCGCCAAGGCGCAGGCCAACTTGGAGGATAGGTTGGAGTGGCTGGTAATCGCGGACCGCCACGGGCACGACACCGCCACCAGATATGCAGAGGGTGATGACCTGACGGAGCTGCTGTCCGACTCCGGAAAAAGGAAGCGCCTCCGGACGGCGTTGGAAGCGTCACGGACGAGTGCGAAGGCCCTGATGATGGTGAAGGCCAAGCAGCCGCCTTTTAGGACCACCAGCGCTCCAAGATCAGCCGGCTCTTGGAGTGCTGGCCAGCAACCTAGCCAGGCCGCAGCAGTCGCAGTGCCACCGCCCCCCCCCCCCCCCCCCCGGCAGGCCAGCAACCCGGCAGTGTACCTCAGTGCCACCGCCCCCGGCAGGCCAGCAACCCGGCAGTCTACCTCAGTGCCACCGCCCCCCTCCCCCCCCCCCCCCTCCCCCCGGCAGGCCAGCAACCCGGCAGTCTACCTCAGTGCCACCGCCCCCGGCAGGCCAGCAACCCAGCAGTGTACCTCAGTGCCACCGCTCCCGGCAGGCCAGCAACCCGGCAGTCTACCTCAGTGCCACCGCCCCCCTCCCCCCCCCCCCCCCCCCCGGCAGGCCAGCAACCCGGCAGTCTACCTCAGTGCCACCGCCCCCCGGCAGGCCAGCAACCCGGCAGTCTACCTCAGTGCCACCGCCCCCCAGCAGGCCGGCAACCCGGCAGTCTACCTCAGTGCCACCGCCCCCGGCAGGCCGGCAACCCGGCAGTCTACCTCAGTGCCACCGTCCCCCCCCCCCCCCCCCAAGGCCAGCAACCCGGCAGTCTACCTCAGTGCCACCGCCCCCCCCCCCCCCCCCCCGGCAGGCCGGAAACCCGGCAGTCTACCTCAGTGCCACCGCCGTGGTGAAGCCGGGCACTTCATCCGCTTCTGACAAAAACTACAGAACTCGAAAAGCTAAGTTTCACGGTGTTGGTTTTTGAATGATGATGAGGATGATGTTGATGCTGTTTTCGACTCCTGCGTACATGCGGCTGCACCGTCTTCTGTCCCCGTTGGTACACACTTGCTCGTATTGTCCCCGTTGTACGCCTTCACTATAATATATTCTGTTGTCTCGTCTTGTCTCAGTGTCAGTCGTCAGTCGTTCTTTGTCAGAGTTAGCAGTTGCAGGTAGTGTCTCTATCAATCCATAGGGTTTGCTAACAGCACAACATCCAGCTTGTGGCTGAGTGGGTGCCCCGCGAGAAAAATGAGCTCGCTGATGATTTTTCCAAAGTTGTGGATGCTGATGACTGGAGTATCAATCCAGTTATTTTTTGGCTGGACGACAAATGGGGTACACATACCATAGACTGTTTTGCCAGCATGAGCACAAAGAAAATCGACTGATATTGTTCACGGTGGTGGAACAGTGGCGTAGCCAGGGGGGGTTCTTTGGGGGCCCAAGCACCCCCCTCAAAAATTTCAGGTACCATTTTTGTACTGCTGTGGATCTACGCCCGCCCGCGATCGAGACTCGACGTCGACAAGATCGACGCCACACGACGCTGCGCTGCAAGACGGGGCCCGGCCAACTGTATTACTAGTAGCGCATGCAGGTTGCACTTGAGACTGCATGCATGGCTGCACATGCAGTCATGTTCTCGCCGGTGACAGGCGCAGTAGTGCTAAATTATTAATTTTTACTTCCTCCGTATACAAAAACTTCGTGACTTTTTTTCAACGGTGTTTTTGAGCAAGAACCTGCTCAACGAACCACGCCAAAGGCTGTCATCGACCACCCACATTCATGTTGAGGTAGGTTTGGTTGACCCCGAACAGATTCTCCACGGAAGCCATTCGTGTGAGGACGTTGCCGACAGGAACTCACGAGTCAAATGAAGAAAAACTAACACTTGCTTGCTCGAAATTGACACAGTGACGAAGTGGAGCTCGCGGCTTGAACACGGAGTCACGCAGCATTCGCTGCCCTGAAACTGGCCAGGCTCGTACTTGCGGTGCGCGGCCCCCATATGCAACGCGAGAACATAAATCGGTTCCGCTCACACGGCGAGATGAAACATTTCAGTCGTCGTGCGCTGACTCCGGATCGGAATGTCAACGACCTGGCTTTCTTCGCCTCTGTCCAGTCAGATGTCTCTGTCGTCGTCTAGGGGAATCGCAGGAACCTCCTCGAAGGCGTTGTAGAATGGTGGGAGGATTATCCTGCCGAGAAAATGTGAAGGGTGTGGGTGTGTTTGAGCGACTCGTTTCACGCCATAATGGAGGTCGCGGGTTGGAACGACTAAATATAGTCGACACCGATTCGTACGCAGCTCTGGAGGTGAAGAGGACGTAGCCAAAGTCCCGCGTCGGATCATCACTGAAAGCTGAAAAGAATCTGAACGAGTGGGAGCGGAAACATCGACTGTTGGCGATGCGGCGTCAGCGTCGTCATGTGACAATGACAGGAGCGACGAAGACTCTGAATAAACTCAATTTCATTCGGCTGAGTTGCTTTTTTCTTTGTATATAGCTTGTAAACAGGTTAGACAATGCCACGAGTGTTATTCCAAGTCAAACAGAACAATTCCAGAGATTTCAGTACTCTGTCAGTTTTGTGCCTAGTTATTGCACTTTCTGACTGTATAAAGTATCATGTTACAGTGATGGAGAGTTACTCTTAACTCGTATCCATATGTCCTTTTCTCTTCTACATATATTTATGGCTCAACATCCGAGTTTCAAATTCCAGAGCTGTGCGCAGCCTTAAAAAAAGTCACGAAGTTTTTGTATACGGAGGAAGTAGTACAATGTAGTACTACCGGTACTGTAATTTGAACTAGTACTACCGTGGTAGTATAGTTGTGTGTAGATCTTTGCCTTTGAATGTGAGTTTGGTCGTTTTCGGATGCACTGCGCATTGTACAACTACCGGTATATAGACTCGCACTTTGTGTAGCTAGACTTGGTAGAAGTGAAAGAGAAGTGTCAACGTCGTTTTGTGATCCGCAAGTCGAATGGATTCTTATGAAAATGTCGATCTTGAAGTATTTCAGTTGAGGGAAGTCGAAGAGACCAGATACCAGTAGCAGCAGTGCCAGTGCCATTTCCGAATCTGACGAATCTAATTGCGAAATTGTCGAAGTCGAAGACTCGGAAGAGCCGCAGTTGTCGCCCTTGGCTGTACCAGTAGCAGTCGTCCGAAATGACATCGGTACCTTCATGGAGGACATTGCGAAGGGTGCACCGCTCGACGACGACGTGATGTTTGCCCTGCTAAAGGACCATGTCCAACGGGATAGTTCGTTTGTTTTCCCGAAGAATGGTGGCCGGTCTTTTCAGCCCCGCTGGCTCGATGTATACAAGCCATGGCTGGTGTTTAGCCCTTCGCTTTCCGGCGGAGTCTGCGTTCCATTCTGTCTATTTGCAAATGCATTCCGAGGATCGTCGCTCGGTGTTTTGGCAAGACGTCCCTTGACGAACTTTCGGAAAGCACTGGCGCTCCTGGATGAGCATATGGGGAAAGTCTACCACCAGAACGCTGTGGTAAGAGCTGACGGCTTCCTCAGTGTCATGGAGGGGAAAACGAAGGACATAGCACAGCTGACCAATGATGGACTCGCGGCTAGGGTAGCTGCGAATCGCGCCAAGTTGGAGGCGATAATCAAAATCCTGATCTTGTGCGGTAGACAAAATATTCCTCTGCGAGGTCACAGAGACGCCAGCACAAACAAGGAGGCCGCGGATTCCGCAAACTGTGGAAATTTCTGGGCTTTGATGGACTTCAGAGTGGAGGCTGGTGACAAGATCCTAGCTGGTCATATTGCTTCTGCCCCAGCCAATGCAACGTACACGTCAGGAGATATCCAGAACCAACTGATCGACATCATTGGTGACCAGATTGCCCAGAGGATTGTTGATCAGGTCAAGGATGCTGGATGGTTCACAATCATCGCTGATGAGGTGACAGATGTGGCAAACAAGGAGCAACTCAGCTTGGTGTTACGGTACGTGGACCTATCGACAAAGGTGGTTCGAGAGGATTTTGTCGTGTTCGTTGAGTGTGCAGCAGGAGTTACCGGAGAGGCCCTCGCTAAGCTGATCACGGATACCATCACCAGTCTTGGCCTTGACCTTGGCAAGCTCCGTGGACAGAGCTATGACGGAGCAGGCAACATGGCAGGAGCCAGGAAAGGTGCCGCTGCCCGCATCACAGAGAAGTACCCCCGAGCTCTGTACCTGCACTGTGCCTCGCACTGCCTGAACTTGGTGGTCGTCTCGTCTCTGCAAGATCGTTTGGTGCAGAATATGATGGGCGTCGTCACCCGAGTAGCAGTTTTCTTCGACTCCCATCCGAAACGCCAGAAAGCGCTCGAGGCCGCTTTGAATGATGCAGACGAGGAACCTGATACATCCAAGGTAAAGGATCTCTGCAGGACACGGTGGGTGCAGCGACTTGATGCACTGGAATCCTTCCTGGCCCTTCACCCCATGCTTGTGGTCTGCTTCAATGCAATCCTGGATGAAGGTCCCCAGGCGTGGTCAAGAGATTCCATTACGGATGCGAATGGTTTGCTGACGGCTATCACCAACACCGACTTTATCGCAGCCTTAGTTATTGTCACAAGTGCCTTCATTACGTGCGTGGCATCACCTCCAGTCTCTAAGCAGAAGCCAAGGACTTGATTGCAGCAATGCACGATGTGAGTTCCGTCACAACCACACTGGCAGAAGTCCGAAGAAATGTGGACAAGTACCATGGTGAGTGGTTTGAAGTGGTGAAGTACGTATGTGAGGCAGTGCACGTTACGCCATCACTTCCTAGGCTGTGTGGTCGCCAGACCCAACGGAACAACGTTCAGGCCGATACGCCCGTCCAGTACTACCGACGTGCCCTGACAGTGCCCATTCTGGACCACATGGTGTCGGAGATAGAGGCCAGGTTCACGCCGCACCACTCGACCGCACTCCAGGGCTTCTGTGCCATCCCAGTACTGCTGCTAAAGATGTCCATGGACGCTGCGAAGTCCCAAGTACAGGAGCTGGTGAAGCTGTATGACGACGACTTTGTGTCTGGCCGTAGTATGGAGGCTGAGCTCCACTGCTGGCGCGTGAAGTGGGTGAAGGCAAAGGCAGAGCACGGTGAAGCTAGCTTGCCGACCTCGGTATCAGCAGCGCTACCCCACGCTTCCCAGATGTTCCCGAACATCCGCTGCCTTCTGCAACTTCTTGCAACCTTGCCAGTGACGTCTTGCTCGTCCGAACGGTCCTTCAGCGCCCTGAAACTGGTCAAGGACCGGCAGAGATCAGTGGTGAAGAACTCCCGGCTGACTGGCCTCACCTTGCTGCAGGTTCATCATGACATTCCAGTTGACGTTGGTGCGGTCATCGATGAGTTTGCTCGCCGCCATCCACGACGAATGCAGCTGGTGAATGTATTGCACAGTGAATGATGCAGCGTACTGTGGTACATCTCACTCTGGCACATCTGGACTGTAAATACAAATCTCATGAGGCGGATTGAACATGAGCACTCGTCGGCAGACATACGTAACCTCTAATACCTGTATAATAAGATTTCCCCTGTATTATAAAATTTTCCTATCCTGGCTGGTATAATGTGCAGCAGTGTCCTGGTGATTACATGTATTCAATCGTGGATTGAACGAACTTCAACAATTGTCTGTATTATATTCTGGGTCTAACCACACCCTGTCAATCTCTTACCATCCAACTTCTGTAGCAAAGTACTGTGCGTTTCATACGATTATCTGACTTTTTATTGAATCATTGGTGGAATGGAAAATAATGAAATAGATGCAAAAATGAAGGATTTGGCACTCAATATCGAAAAATGTTCCGGGGGACGGCCCCCGGACCCCCCCTCCCCCCATTTTTCGCGCCCTTCGGCCGCAGGCCCACACTTCCAGTGAGCACCCCCCTCAGCCACAATCCTGGCTACGCCCCTGGTGGAACCTAGGGTGTATTGCGGTGGATGCATTCACATTTCCATGGGTGGGAAAACACGTTTGGCTCACTCACCCCTGTACCTCATGGGCAGGGTTATTCAAATGGTTAAATATTACGAATGTCATGCAACTCTGATTGTGCCTAAGTGGGTGTCAGCCCCATGGTGGCCATTGCTGTCCCGAGGGTCATCCTGGGGTCCGTAGGTGAAGGAAGATTGCGATCCCTCTGAGGGAAGACACATTTATGCAGGGCACTTGCCCCTGGAATTTGTTTGGGGAAGGGATTCCTAAGTGCAAGGTGTTAGCACTGAGGTTGTGTACGTACAGACAGTGCACATGCTGAGGCAGTTGTGTACCTATGTGTCTTTTGATGTTGTTGCAGTTGTGCGTAGGCTCCGGAGCCAGAAACGCATCCAAACTGGAGCCCCCCCCCGCTGTAGGCGGTCAGCTCATTACGCCGTGGCTTGCCTGCAAGTCGAGCAATGGTGATGATGATGTTGGTGGTGGTGGTGGTGATGGAGATGACGATGATGTTGGTGATGCCGCAAGAAAGCGAATCACATAAACAACGGCCAGTAGTCAGAGACAGCATGTCGTACTCCAGGGCGAGGGAATTAGTACGAGCAGCACTGGCTGCCATCGGAGAGGATCCGGACAGGTACGGCATGCACAGCCTACGTTCCGGGGAGTGTCAGTAGCAGCTGCAGCAGGTGTGCCTGATCGTCTTGTCCAACGCCACGGCAGATGGAGAAGTGAAACCGGCATGAGATCATACTTTCCTGAGTCTTTGCCGAACCTGCTGAGAGTCTCACAAGCTGTTGGACAGTCAATTCAGTAAGCTTTTGTAACTGTGCTTCTTTTTCTTCGGCTATGCTTTGTCAGCTTGCAATATGGCTGCCCGCAGCCAACCCTGCACTTGTTATGGCTGATGTGAGGTATAAGAAAGAAGTGTACGCTTCTCATTGGCTGAATTTGAAATAAACGAGAAGCATTGTTCTTTCGAATGACAAACATCTGCGATGCGTGTTTTCTGTTTTGTTTTGTGTTTTTTCTATTTTATTTTATTTTTGATGCTGGTGTCATGGTAATGACACAGAAGGTCGCGCAAGCGCGGAAAAGCGCTTGCACAGTTTGAATCAGTCTCTTTTTTGTCTTGCATTGCAAGGGCCCACCCACCCACCCTTGTGTTTGCCTTACATATATAATTACGGTGTGCAGTGCAGCTGTGGGCAGGCTTGTTTTGTTTTTTGTTTTGTTGCGTTTTTTGCTGTTGTTGTTACTGGTTAGGGATCAGTACCTTCCTATTCCATAGAATTTTATCGATGTTACCCTTGAAGAATAATGCAATATGGCTGCCCGCAGCCAACCCTTCACTTGTTATGGCTGATGTGAGGTATGAGAAAGAACTGTCATGACCCGGATCAGACTCGTCGTGAAAGCGACCACGCATTGAGTCCAGCAGCCAAAGCTAGACTCCGAAATATTCTAGAGTTCTGTAAGAACCATAATTAGTCCTGCAAAGGATTTGGCACTGTCGTTAGTTGAGCAACCATGGCTTACAACTCATGGCCTAGAGCCGCAAAGTGTTGTCGTAAGTCGGCAACACCTTCAGTACAAACCGTTAGCATTGTACTCACTACACTCTGAGCTTGAGGAAACCACACTTAGTCCTGCAAGGGAGCTGATACCTTTGTTAGTTGAGCAAGAGTGGCCCCCCTTCTCGTGTCGTAAGACGCAAAGGGTCGACAGTACATCGCGTACTCTATACCCCAGGCCCGTTGGAGGGAACACGGCATTGCCGTCTGCTGCTATGTTTGGGGGAAGAGCCCATATTGAGTGAAGCCACAAGAACGACACAGCTACGCTTTCCGCCTGCTGCAATGCATCCCAGCCACCGGATCGCGGATCAAGATCATGCCAGCATTTGGAGATCACTGATATTCACATTTGGGTGAGCGAGCTCCCCGTATTGATTGATCTTTATACTATATTCTAGTTTGGCTGATTGCACGTATTGCACCACTGTTTGTAATATAGAAATAATACGCATTCTTGCCGCTGTATACTTTTGATCACATAAGGCCATGTTAAATAAATTCAGGGCTCACGGTTATGTACAAATACATGGGCGCCATTTTGTTTCTGGCCAGCTCACGCGACGACAGGTCGACTGTCACGCGACCACAGCTCGACCACCCCTTGTACACAAACTCTAGCCATCTCGCAGCACATTTTCAGTGCTACACATGCCTCTTCAAAATAGAGTAAGGTAGCACAGGTAGACAGTACGACACTGAAAATTTGGGTGGAACCAGGCAAGATGTGAACTAGGGGTTCAACCGAAGGAATTTTTGATTTTGGCCCTGGGAAACTAAAGATATGGTCACAAAGTCCGTGAATGCTCTACAGCGATCCCTTCATCTAGAAAAAAATCGCTTTGGTTAAACTGTAGCTTAGTATCTACTGAAGATTTTGAGCCATCGATTGTCAAAATCGGCCAATATTGTGCTACCTTATACTGTTTTGAAGTGAGCTAAGTGGGCAGGGGCGCACGCGAACTCCCGTGCGCGACGACAAGGAAGGAAGCCTGTGCATATGCGTTGTACGATGCGGAAACTACACCAGCGAGGCAGCAGCAAGGCGTTTTTTGCAATGTTTCCTCCGTGACTGACAAACTCTTGAAATATTATTCACCGTTTGCTGTCTCGCTCATCGGCGCTCTACTGCTGTGTGCTTCAGCAGCTATGGCGAACCGAAATACATGACCAGTACAACGGTGAAGCCATTTGATTCGTCCTCTTGTAACGAAACAGAGTGGCAAATCAAATAATTCACAACTCTCCATCGTCACTTCTCACAGCAGCGTGGCACGGCTCTTTCACTCGTGTAAGTGCATTTACAAAACGCTCTGAGAACAGAGATAACGAACTAGAACACGGTGTGAGTCTTTGCTTCATTCCATCAAGGAGCTCTTGTCCTCTACCTCTCCTCACCTGCGCCAGTGCATCAGCGGACGACATAGATGTCGATCCCTTTCTCAGCAAAGACTCGGCGGCAGAACTCGCGACTTCTCATCGCAGGACTCAGCGTGCGAACGAACTGTCTGATGCCTTCGGCTTACGAGGCCAGCACTGCTCGCAACACACTCGCTCGGAAAGAAGCAATAACAACGACAGTGAACGGCAACCAAAGTGAAACGCAAGTCCCCAGCCGGTCTCCGTCTTCCTCAGTTCTACTACTTCTTGTCAGTCACCAGGTCACTGCAACTCTCTCTCGATGCTGTGCTCCGCGCCGCGTAGGCGTGCACTGCCGGCATGCCGCGTGCATAGCTCGAGTCACGCGAGCTCATTTCTATGGTGATCAGATTTCAAGATGTCCTCCCACGTAATCGAGTTTTGGCATCCCAACCGTGAGCCCTGAAATTGATTGTTTATCGTCAGATTTTCCTGAGAAATCGGGGCGGACGGGAGGTATTTTATTTTATTTTTTATTTTGCATGCATGGCTGTATGGTAGGTATTCGCAACCCCTAGACATGCCTCTTCCTCCATTTTCTTTTTTTGAAGCCATTTTGTACAGAGTGAGATAATCCATATAATGCAGATGAATCGTCAGCCATGAATAACATCTTGCAAGATAATTTTGAGGATGCATATATGGAAAGGTGAAACAACCAACGTAGGACAACAAAGAGAATCAGGCAGCTGATAATCTCTTTCACTTTTCAAGCCTATATCACCTACATGTATGATTCAATCTGCGGACTTCACCTTCCAAGATCTACTGCCACGCTCATTAGAGGCCGTATGGGCATAGATCGCACTACATGTACATACAGTACATTTACCGGAATTAAAGAATAAAATAATTCGGCCGGGAGGGCGAAAAATAGGGGCGGGCGTGGACGATAAACAATCAATTTTTATATTTGGCCTAATGTAGCATATTATAAGGAGCTGTTTTGCTGACATTCATCCTCGATCCGGGGAGCTCACTACTCTCCTCGATTCTCAACTCTCGGGGAGCTCACTACTCCTCCGACTCTCTCCTGCTTTGGGTCTTTTGACTCTTCTCGCTTGATCTTCGATCTAGCATTGCAATGGTTGAATAAACACTGTTCAAGTGGAATTAGAAACCTGTCGTTCTGTGTGAGCTAGCAACTTGGATGGCGACTATATTGGTCGTCTACCTGGGTAGCCACTAGACTGATCTAAGCCAAGTCACAAACCCGCCAACGCGCGGCCATGACAGAACCAAGGAACTACAAGTTACGCTTTAATGTCCACTAACACCACCAGCAATCAGCTCGCGCGTTACATTGCACGACACTGACCGGCGGCACTGACTTTCTTAAACTAACTGTCGAACAGCTCCAGCAATTCTTGGATGCGCAATCCTAAGTTATACGACAACATAGGAGGGGAGGGTGAGCGCAACCAAGACAAGCACAAGCTGAAAGTCTCAGCTGTGAAGGACATTTGCGAATGTTCCTGCATGTCAATGACGATACTGACAAGACCACTGGACAATACGGTCAAAGCACGATTGACAAACACATTGACTCTGTCATGATGAGGCAGAGATCCCACACAAAACTTACGTTTACATGCTGGCTCATTAAGTAGAAACCCGGTAGCCAGACAAGTTGTGTTTAGTACAGGTGAAAAACCTACATGGCATGTGTATTTCACCTGTTTGCCATATTGGATACTTGAAGCGCTGAGTGTGCCATTAGCAATGTCAGGCACATTGCAGTAGACAGCTACACAGGTCAACAACAACAACAACAAAAGTACATACCCTATATTCTCCATTACTAGCACAGTCTCTAATACTAGCACACTGTGAGCACCTTTCGAAACATTATAAGCACAGTCCCTATTACTAGCATGGTCTTTGTGGAAATCGATGCTGCATGCATAATATCTAGCATGTATTTCTTCTTGCTCTGTATGGATGTATTGGTTGAAAAAATATAAGCACGGTCTCCAATACAAGGACGGGTGGAGGGGTGTTGGAAAATATAAGTACGGCGCTTATAATAGAGAATATACGGTATTCACACCTGTTCTTACTTCAATAATCAGTAAGAGGTTCGGTTCATATCGTTAGAATATTACTTTGAACTACGTTCTTTGCTCACCATGATCACAGCTGTTACTTCTTCTACAAAGCAATCCAACACAAACTAACTAACTAGCTCGACTGATAACAAGAGCTAGAGAGAGAGAGAGGAAGCGACAAGACTAGAATGCAAATGTTACAGATCACTGCGCACCCGCAGCGCTGCGCTGGAGTCTACTGCTAGAACACAACAATGCATGGCATACATAAAACAAAGGCAATAAACATGAGCTATGCTATGTGATATCCGTACTAGTGAGCTACCTCACGTGATAGATCATTATCTTTCTACTCCTCTACTCTAAGTTTGTATCCGCCGCGCATGCTTTTCCGTTGTGCTGCTGAGCTTCTCTGTCGTTCTAGTTCGGCATTCTAACTTTGGTCTTGAAGTCAACAGTTCCCCTTTTTGTCTTGTCCTGAACTGCTCTGGTGTGATCATAATATTTGGCGACGAAGTCCTTGATTCAGCTGCCACGATGAGCACAGTAAAATCATTGAACCCGTTTGATCTGGAACCGCCTGAGTCGGTTGGCCCTCGTTAGGAGAAATGGCTGGCTCGTTTCGATAATTATTTGATTGCAGCGAACATCATGGAAGACGAGCGGCAGAGAGCCCAGCTCTTGCACGGTGGCGGTGAGGACGTGTTTGACGTCTACCTCGCCTTTGACAGCAGTAGCATTACAAGTTACGACGACTTGAAGGATGCTCTGACGGCTCACTTCAGTCCGAAGCGCAACAAGAAATACGAGGTCTACTTGTTCCGTTGTGAGAAACAATCTCAGCCGGAGACCCTTGATAGCTATGTAACTCGTCTTAGGCATTTGGGAAAGCACTGTCAATTTGCAGATATGGACACAGAGCTAAAGTCTCAGGTCGTACAGCACTGTGTGTCGTCGAAGGTACGTGAAAAGGCTTTCATGGAGAGCAGCATTTCGTGCACTCGCACAAGTTGTCCAGGCGTCAGGGGCCCAGCCTCCCTACCCATCCGACCCGCCACACACAACAACGAAACTGAACTAAGAGTTCTACATAATTTCTTGACAAGACGGAGATGGACAGACAAGAAGACCGGACACGACAAGGTAAAACTGATAACTGAAGAAAAAGACTAACATTTATGGCAGCATACGAGCATGCGCGCAACAAAACACAACGTATGACAATGACGTAACCGTTACTTGGATCATGTACAAACTATACATGCAACCAAAACCAGTCAAAGCAGAACGCAAAACAAACCAAAATAAACAAAAGGACCACAACAAAAATGAGCCATGAAAAGTCTTTCTACCGATACACAACACAGCATGTCGTTGGCAGACCTCCTTACTTATGCACGGTCAGTGGAAGTCACGATGTCGTCTGTGGCAGCCATGGCCGGGGCCAGCAGCTTCAGCAAGCCTGAACATCCCCAGGTCCATAAAGTGGAGAGGCGACACCCATCAAGTCGTGACCAGCCCGGTCCTTCCAGTAAGGCCGTTCGCAAATGTAGCGGATGCGGGGGGAAATGGCACGACAACCGCTCGGATTGCCCAGCATGGGGAAAGACGTGCAAGTACTGCAGCAGGTCGAATCATTTCGCAAAGGTATGCCGGACGAAGGCTGTGCATCAGTTTTCCGAGCAGAGAGCCCCTGAGTTCGCATCACCTGACCAGACGGCGGAATACAGCGCGGAGCTGCACCACACCAGTTGCTCTGGTCATGTGCGTTCCAACGTGGATCCTTATATGTGTAGTGTGAGTCTGGCTGGCACCCCTGTTGTGTTTGAGATAGACACCGGAGCGGCAGTAACAATAATCAACAAAGCGGAGTACCAGACACTGGGGTCGAAAGATACCAAGCAGCAACTCCCCAGTCTGGAGACGAATGACCTGCCGAGCCTTAGGTCGTATGCTGGCAAGATCATACCAGTTATTGGTCGTCTCATCTGCAACGCCCGTCATGCGAAGAACTCGGCTCAGCTGACCATGTTTGTCGTCGAGGGTTCTGGTCCGAATCTGTTGGGTAGAGACGCGCTGCAGACGCTAAAGCTCAACTGGAACTGAGTCTTCAATGTCACCGGAGATCTGAGCAGTGACCTCCTGAGCAAGCATCCTGATGTTTTCAAGCCCGGACTCGGCACCTGGAAGCACGGCAGTATCAAGCTTGCAGTCGACCGCAATGCTAGACCTCGCTTCCTAAAAGCTCGCTCTGTGCCTTATGCTCTACAGTCTGCCGTGGAGAAGGAGCTGGACAAACTAGTCGACAACAACGTCGTTCAGCCAGTCGAATTCGCTGAGTGGGCAGCACCGATTGTGCCAGTTCTCAAGAGCAATGGCCAAGTCCGCATCTGTGGTGATTACAAGTGCACTGTTAACCAGGCAGCCAAGACAGACAAAGTACCCATTGCCAAACATAGAGGATTTGTACGTGAAACTTGCTAATGGCTGTTGCTTCACCAAGCTGGACCTCAGTCAAGCTTATCTCCAATTACCACTGGATGAACAGTCTAAACTTCTTACCACCATCAACACCACGAAGGGTCTGTTTGTGTACAACCGACTGCCTTTTGGTGTGTCTTCGGCGCCGAGCATATTTCAACGTACGCTCGACCAATTGCTAGCTGGAATACCAATGGTTGTGATCTACTTGGATGACATCCTTGTCTCTGGCACAACTCGTGAAGAACACGACAAACATCTGAACATGGTTCTGGAACGTCTCAACGCAGCTGGATTGCGTTTCAACCGCACCAAATGTTCATTTGCAAGGTCTTCTGTGACATTCTTAGATCACATCATCGATGCATCTGGAATTAAGCCAACCAAGGAGAAAGTGCAAGATGTCATTGATGCAAGGGCTCCTACCGACGTCCAAGAGCTGAGAAGCTGCCTCGGACTAATCAACTACTACCACAAGTTCATTCCTAACCTGAGCTCAGTACTTGCTCCGTTGTATGAACTATTGTCTTCCAAGAGTTGGGACTGGTCTCGTCGTCAACAGTCCGCATTCGAGAGTAGCAAGAAGCTGCTCATTGACTCACCCGTCCGTGTGCATTACAACCCTAAACTACCAATTATTGTGAGCTGTGATGCCTCACCGTACGGCATTGTCGCAGTTTTGTCGCATGTTGTCAATGGCGAGGAGCATCCGGTTATCTTCGCATCGCGTACCCTGTCGTCAGCAGAGCGAAACTACGCACAGATTGAGAAGGAAGGCCTCGCCATGGTTTTCGCTGTCAAGCGATTCCACAAGTACCTGTATGGCCAATCATTCACTCTTCAAACAGACCACAAACCTCTGCTGGGTTTGTTCAGCGAGTGTCGGCCCGTTCCTGCTATGGCCAGCGGTCGTATTCAGCGTTGGGCGCTGATGTTAGCCAACTATGACTATGAGCAACAGTACAAGCCCGGCAAATCAAATGGAAACGCTGATGGTCTCAGTCGTCTGCCGGCACCAACGCCAGAATTCCAGGTTCCCGTGCCGGCTGAAACAGTTTTGTCAATGACTGTTTTGGACGGAACTCCCGTGACATCATCGAGCGCTGCGCAATGGTCTCGCCGTGATCCAGTGCTTGCATTAGTTCCTAAGTACGTCCAGGAAGGCTGGCCTAACGACGTGCAAAGTGATTACCAAGCGTACTACCGTCGTCGAAGTGAACTCTCCATCATCGATGGGTGCTTACTGTTGGGGCCTCGCGTTGTCATTCCGCCCCAAGGCCGAGAAAAGTTACTGGGAAGAGTTACATTTCAGCCATTCCGGCATAACCAGAAGGAAGTCGCTCGCCCGCAGCTACGTCTGGTGGCCATCGGTCGATGCCGAAATTGAACTCAAGGTCCGCAGCTGTGAGCCATGTCAAGCAACCCAGAAGTCTCCAGCACTACAGCCATTGCATCCCTGGGAGTGGCCAGGCAAACCCTGGACCCGACTGCACATTGATTATGCAGGCCCTGTGGAAGGCAAGATGCTACTTGTGATCGTCGACAGCCACAGCAAGTACATCGACGTGCACGCCGTTCCATTTGCTATGTCGACAGCTACCATTGGCAAGCTTCGCGAGTGTTTCGCTACACATGGTTTTCCGCAACAGCTTGTCTCGGATAATGGCTCAGTGTTCACCAGCTCGGAGTTTCAACAATTCTGCTCAAGTAATGGTATCAAGCATACCTTGGTTTCACCCTATCACCCAGCAAGCAACGGTCTTGCTGAACGAGCAGTTCAAACAGTCAAATCCGGCTTGAAGAAGTTGTCAGGGGCTGGTGAAGACCTAGCGTCACGGTTACACCGCTTTCTGTTTAATTATCGCTTAACGCCTCAGTCAACAACAGGCCAGTCACCATTTCAGCTGCTTATGAACCGCACGCCACGTTCTTGTCTTGACCTGACGTTTCCAGATACATCAGCACGTGTCTTGAACAGGCAAGGTGCTGCTGTTGACCGTCGCACAGCTCGGGCGTCGGATCTCTGTTGTGGTGATGCTGTTTGGGTGATTAACTTCACATCGACGCCTAAATGGATGCCTGGTGGGCTGGAAGACTGTCTTGGTCCAGCCACGTTTACTGTACGTCTGGATGATGGTCGCATATGGAAGCGCCATGCTGATCACATTAGACGCCGTCTTCCGTCCGAGGGAGGAGAAATGCTACCCGAGAGTGCAGGCATATCTGTTGCGGATTTCTGTTCGACTATGATTTACGCATGTTGTTGTATTTGGTTCTTGTCTTGTGGAGTCCAGTGTCTGATGTCATATATGGTCTAAGTGTACGCGCGAGTATGGTGTGATGTGTGACGTTGATGGTATGTGATGCATGCAAGAGTACGCGTTGTCAGAGAGTGAGGATGTGCTTCCGTCTGTGTGAGAGTGACTGTCAAGTGAATGCTGTACATGCGCAGTGCTAGTTTGGTCTGGGAATGAGAGTCGTGTGTGATTCGTCCGTGGTCTGGTTGTCTTGGTCTTGGTCATGTGTTCTGTACGTATTAGTCCCGGATTGGTCGTCACGATTTGGCCTCGCAGACCTCGGTTTATTACTGCTTGTTCTTTGTTGTTTTCTTGGAGTCTTTTCCCGGGAGTCTTTCCCGTTGTCTTTTTGTCGTCTCCAAGTTTGGCTCTCTCCTCCTGCGCCCTCGTCATTTCTTGGTATAATATAAGTATTGCAGATATAATCAAGAGTTTGCGTTGTTGTGTGGCGGGGGCCAGGGGGAGAAGCCTACTTCATATCCGACCGGTCATCACCGTCATCAACTTCAACTTTGGCAGCTGCACAGCCGCAGTCACATGCAGATGCCGAATCACCACAGCCGTCACAGCCAGAGGTTGCCGCCAGCCGCCAGGATGTGGAATCAACATCGCTATCCTCTTCTGCATCTGCTGCACCTTCTGCTGAATCTTCTACTCAGTCTTCTGCTATCTCTGTTAATTCTCCTAGCTCTAATCTGCGCAGGTCTACACGCTCAAGGAAGTCCCCTGATCGTATGAACTTGTAACTGCAGACCTCCTGGGTTTTGCGTTCAGCTCTCTGTTGATATTTGCAGTTCCTTAGTGTGTTACTGTAAAAGCCATGATTCTAACGAGGCGCATATATAACGATTTCCCAAAATCGACTGGTTTACGTGTACCAAAGGTAACGATTCTCACTTATTCTCAACGCTCAATAGGACAGTGTATGTATCGATTTCTGTATAACGATGTTTACTATAACGACAGATTTCTCCTCGTTAACTCGTTAGAGTTAGCACTTCGTTATATACACAGTCGTCCCTCTCTAATCCGGCACTTGTTTACACGGAACCCTTGCCAACCGGCGCACTTTCTGACGAAACTGATTTTTTCGTTCAATTCCTACATCTTAATCCGTTACTTGAATTCCGCCTCCGGCAGTGACTTTTTGAAACAAATCGCTCAAACTGCACGTAGTTTGATTTCATAATCCGGCAGTCGTAAATCGCGTACCGTACAGGTGCACTCCTTGCCAGGCCAGGCTAGGCCAGTCTGGTCAATGTTGTCCAGGAGACAACGGCAGTCAACCATACTTTCTTATTTTAGCAAGGAGTAGTGTCCTGCCAATTTTCAGGTGTGTGTGTGTGCGTGCAAGAGTACGTGTGAACATGTTCTCTGTTTTACTTTATCACTTTATCACTGTGTATATTCCCGAGAACAATTGAGAATATAAAGCCGTGCACCAAATACTTTGGTCGACACGGAAAACCCTGCGTTTTGACGTACATAATGATACATGCATGCAATTGGGTAGGGCCGGGTCAGAGGGCAGGATTTCTTAATCCAGCACCCTCGTTAATCCAGCAGAAAACGCCGTAGCAAAAGGTGCCGGATTAGAGAGGGACGACTGTATATGGCTTTTACAGTACATTGAACTTGCTTCTCGTATCAGCAACAAATTATAGTGAACTCATTGCTCATACTATTGCTTATGTGTTCCTCATCTAATGGTGGAGGGATGTGATATCCGTACTAGTGAGCTACCTCACGTGATAGATCATTATCTTTCTACTCCTCTACTCTAAGTTTGTATCAGCCGCGCATGCTTTTCCGTTGTGCTGCTGATCTTCTCTGTCGTTCTAGTTCGGCGTTCTAGCTTTGATCTTGAAGTCAACAGTTCCCCTTTTGTCTTGTCCTGAACTGCTCTGGTGTGATCATAATAGCTAGACAGGGAGGTGTACTACATTCACTGGACTATGGTTTGGCCTATGCACAACACATGTGTTCAATGGTGATATCAATACAGAGACCGCAATCTCCCACAACACCATTGATTATACAATTAAATACCAGAAGGAGCGCGCTGCAAGCTGGCCTTTAGTGCACCTACTGCTAAACGTACCTGCAACACTTAAAATGAACTCGGATGGAGAGCCAAGGATAAATTTAATAATATTATTTTATAGAAAAGAAAAGAACCAAGGAACTACAAGTTACGCTTTAATGTCCACTAACACCACCAGCAATCAGCTCGTGCGTTACATTGCACGACACTGACCGACGGCACTGACTTTCTTAAACTAACTGTCGAACAGCTCCAGCAATTCCTGGATGCGCACTCCAACAGCCTTCCAACTTGGAAGGTTCTAAGTTATACGACAACATAGGAGGGGAGGGTGAGCGCAACCAAGACAAGCACAAGCTGAAAGTCTCAGCTGTGAAGGACATTTGCGAATGTTCCTGCATGTCAATGACGATACTGACAAGACCACTGGACAATACGGTCAAAGCACGATTGACAAACACATTGACTCTGTCATGATGAGGCAGAGATCCCACACAAAACTTACGTTTACATGCTGGCTTATTAAGTAGAAACCCGGTAGCCAGACAAGTTGTGTTTAGTACAGGTGAAAAACCTACATTACATGTGTATTTCACCTGTTTGCCATATTGGATACTTGAAGCGTTGAGTGTGCCATTAGCAATGTCAGGCACATTGCAGTAGACAACTACACAGGTCAACACAACAACATAAATACAAATTCACATCAGTGATTATACGCATGTACAGTTGAGCTCTGTGAAGTCTGACCCAAAGTGTAAAACTGGTCACCGGGATCCTGTGATCTTTCAAGCTACCATTTCCATGTCAACTTGTCCAGTTTTTGATTAGGATGATTACTTTTCTGCTTTTTGACATTTTCTCTTCTCCTGTTTCTTCTTCAAAATCCATGTGTCTCTTGACACTGGGGTGAATAATGGAGTGTGATGGTGGGGCCCAATAAGCTCAGCCGACCAGAAGTCTGGGCTTCATAGCTCGATTGATGCACCAAAGCATTCATGAAGTACTAAGTTGTTGACTGTTTTTTCTACATCAGTTATCAATTGGCAATTGTTACCGATTCTGGCAATTTTGCATTATCACCCGCTGCATTTGCACCTCCAGCTTCCTTACGCCACAGTAGTATGGCTAAATAGAGAGGTTCCGGGGTACGATTTTCCGTGCCAAAATCCGTATGGGCGCTACGGATTTTTTCCCGGCGTGCTCCATACGCTTTTTCGGCACGGAGAATCCGTGTGGACTGGCTTTCATACGAACCATGTTTCGTATGGAGATTTTGCGTCAGGTGCAGAAAGATTTTTCGCGTACAAATTTGGTACGAGAAACATCAATTTTCCGCGGGAAGTTTTGATTTCGGTACAAATTTTCAAAATAAAAAGGCATATCGCGGGAATGTGACGTGTTTGCGATCGTAACCTAGGCAATGACGGCAAACACATAAGTTCCGTACCCCGGAACTTTTCACTGCTCGAAAACGACGTATAAATATCCGTAGCGCCTCCACGGATTTTGGCACGAAAAATCGTACTCCGGAACCTCCCTAATGTTGCACATGCGGTCCTTCTGGGACATGCAAATCATGTGTTTGTGTCAAGAACAGTAGAAAATGTACGAACTGTGCGCCAAGGGCGAAGTTGAGGTGCAAGAATCTATCAACCGCAACCTGTGGCATGACTTTCGCCAGCCAGCCAATTGCTCCACCAATTAGCTCCAGTACGCAACGCAACACCGACCCTCCAGCTAGTTGCCCTGAACTGTCAGCCGCAGCAACAGGGACAACGCTCTTGCTCTTTGTTTTGTATTCCCTAGTTGGCTTGATTCTTTTCTTTTCTTTTATTTTCTGATTGGATTTTCCTATTTAGTTGATTGGATTTTTGCTAATTTTTGCTATTTTCTTGAATGGTTTGGTCACCATTGCCTTTCTTGCTTGCGCTTTTCAGTTTCTTCTTTCTGACACCCGGTTTGTTTTCAAATAAAAGTAGTAGTAGTAGTAGTAGTAGTAATACTAGTACAGTCTCCTATAGTAGTACAGACCTGTACTACTATAGGAGACTGTACTAGTATTGGAGATGTGTACTTTTATTGTTTCTGGAAAGATTGAGTGTCTGGGTTGGGTGACAAACCACTCGTGATAATGATGCTGTAAGGCTGTAAATACATCCGACCATGGTAGAAACAGTGTACAAGGTCACATCGGATGATAAATGGCGAGGTAAGCGAGGTAAGGTGGACCCTGGTACCTGTACCCCAGTAATTTCCATCACATCATTCCGGCATGTACTAGTATTAGAGACGTGTACTTTTATATTTTAGATCCACTCTCAACTTGTACTTCAGACGTACTAGTATTGGAGAGGTGTATGTTTAATGAAAATACGGTATCACCCCGAACGTTCAGAAAAATAACTTTAGTTTCGTACAAACTTTAGTTATTTCGCGCCCCTTAGCGAATACTAGTATAGCGAAAGTTAATTCCAAACGAAAATTTGTACTTTAACAGTAGTACACATATTGCAGAAGCCTTGCGTAATTGCATAGGGCCAAAGGTCACCTGTATGTTGCATGTAAAATGTGTAATTTGAATGCAGGCGTGGAAAATGGTTTTATGTGATTTTGTACTGTGTGTTCTATGGACGTAGTCTGTGGAGGGCCTTGGGTAAGAACCCTTAGCGGGAATGTCGTGGATTGGTGGTCTCCCTGGCAACGACACAGACCTCGTTCTAAAAGGCACCGAGAGAGCTTGGAAGCTCAGGGCCCTACGCTATGCTTTTTTGCCTGGATGACCTAGACAAAAAAAGCATACAGTAGACTCGTTCGCCCAAGAACGTCCAGGCTGGAAATCTAAGAACGCCCCAGCCTGGATTTAAGAACGAACTCCAAGATTTTTAAGAACGCGACAGTTTTTGGTATTGTTCCTTCATGATCTTGTCCGAGTACACGAAGAACAAGTCCGCAACCACAAACTCTTGTCGGGTCTTCGCGGAAGCATCACCCAGTGCAGCGCCACATACTACACGTGCATGTAAAGTGTACAACCGGTACATGTAGCGCACAGTGCATTGTACATGAGCGTCACGGGTCATGTTGGACGCGTAAGAACGCAAAATAAGAACGTAGCCTGGGGCGCTGAAAAATAAGAACTTTGCTAGGCTGACCCTCTGAAACCGCGTTCTTGGGCTTACGAGTCTACTGTCGGGATGTTATAAATTCTTATAAATTTCTCCTTAAAAAAAAGACATAACCTGGGATTCGAACCCGCACTATCGCCCTGTATGCATCCCCGATACACTTCGCATACATACTAATTCTTCCAAGTTGCTTCACGTTATGTTTCAAAAAAGCATAGGGATGTTATAAATTTTTCAATTCTCCTATTTTTTCAGGCATAACCTGGGATTCGAACCCGCACTATCGCCCTACATGCATTCCCCGCATTCATACTCATTCTTCCAAGTTGCTTCACGTTATGACCTTGCGTTTGAAAGCCCTATTTGAATATAGCGGCCAGCTGTATGTGGCCAGCTGTGTTTGATGGTACGGTACGGTACGGGACAGATACGGGATAGCGCCAGGCGTGACACAAACAAACAAATACCAAATTAAAGCTGTGTGGATCCTGGCTAGCGTCAGACGTTACTGAAGTAACGTCTTCTGCATAGCTACGGGAATAATGAAATGCACCTTTTTTGGATTCTTCCGAGTTGTGGTTGCTTTGTTTGTGGGTTTTGATCAGGTTTATAAAATGAAGGTCTCTACCTCGCATTTATGGCTAATGAAGACGATGTAATGAAAACCTTGCTTTATCTCGGTATTTATCCATGTCCTTATTAGCCACAATTACTCTGCCTCAACCTTTATTATAATATTGTACATACAGGTATATCATATGGAAGCTATGGATGATGGACGACTTACCATAACACACTACACTTCCATTCATATTAGTGAAGTCCCTTCCCTGTCTACCTTTCACTCTGTATGTATTTGGTTCAGTACTCTGATAAAAATCAGCCCAGACGTAGCTGTAGTCGAGCCCATGTATGTTGCTGAGGTAAGCAAAGTCATACAGGCAATGGGCGGCCAATTTTGGTGGAAGGATCATTCCCATTTCGGAGCAAATTCGTTTCGCATCTTCAAGGCTTTTCAGATCATTGGCAGGTTTTAGGGAATTAGGAACTACAAGATAGGAGTCGGTCAAACACCTCTCAACACCATCGACAACCAGGTCCCGGCGGTAAAAGCCTGGAGTAGATAAATGCAGTGGATACGGAAGGGAAACCATGAGAGATGATGGATGTGTGGCAAAAGGACAATCTGGCATGCCTCTATACTAATCAAACCACGCCACCACTCCCCTTTTTCAGGCTCACACATGACGGGTTTACGTGGCTCTAGTAAAAATTTAAAAAAAAATACATACAAGGCTAGACTCGGATGGGGAGCCAAGAATTAATTTATAGTAAAGAAAAGGACCAAGGAACTCCAACTATACTGTCCACTAAGACCACCTGCTACTAAACAATCCGCTCATGCCATAACATAGCCAGTTAGTTGTAGAACGTCAGTGCCGTCAGTTAGTGTCTGGCAATGTAATCGCATTAGGCCATGCAAAATATATTGATTGTTTATCGTCAGACATGCCTTTTTCTTCTCTTTTCTTTTTGAAGCCATTTTGGCGCAGAGTAAGACGAATCCATGTGATGCAGATGAATCGTCAGCCACGAATAACATCTTGCAAGACAATTTTGAGGATTATTATAAGGAAAGGTGTAACCACCAACGCAGAAAAATGAAGAAAATCAGGCCGCTGGTAATCAGTTTCACTTTTCAAGCCCATAGCAACTAAGTCATGGTTCAGTCTGTGGACTTGACCTGCGAAAATCTATGGCCATGACGACTAGAGGCTGTAGGCTGCAGTACATACAGTACATTTACCAGAGCTAGAAAATAAAATAATTTGACCAGGAGGGTGAAAATTCGGGGTGGGCGAGGACGATAAACAATCTATTTTTTACTTGGCCTTAGCTGATTGGTAGTGACTGGTGGTGTTAGTGGACATTATAGTGTAACTTGTAGTTCCTTAGGGCCTGGTCAGACTGCGGCAACTTTTGGTTGCCTGACGAAAAAAGAACAGCGTCCAGAATTTGAATCGCGATCACACTACACATGTGGGGAGAATGAAAATTCAAACTTCATTTCGAGCGTCAAGTGGTTATCTCCACGAACGACGTCAAATTCCTTCACCTTGGGATCGCCAACACCTTCAGTGCAATCCTTGCAACCATCCTTATGAGTTTTGTTGTTGTCCGTGGCTAATTAGCTCCTCGATATCGAGATGAAAAAATCAGTGATTATCAGCGTCAATGGCGTATCAGCATCAGATCCTGTTTGGAGCGGAAAAGCGTGGCCCGTTCTTGCTTTTTTTTTTGGAGCGTCAACTCTCGCTTTTGCTGCTCTGGCGGCAAGTTACTATGGAGATTCGGATTATAATCCTAGGATTATTTTAATTTTGCTGCAGTCTGACCAGGCCCTTAGTCCTTTATTTTACTATAAAATACGTACAAAATTACAAAATTAATGTCATTTTTGGGGTCTATGCAGGCTAGAGAACTACTTCAGAATAGAAAAACAGCACTTCTTCGGTAAAGGCGTTTTCATGGTCATAGTGCACTGTGCGCTGTGTGTGTTAGTGTGTGTGTGTGCGTGTGCGTAAGCGTGCGCGTGCGCGGACGCGGGCGCGCGTGCGTGCGTGAATGCGTGCGTGCGTGTGTGTGTGCAATGCTGCATGTCTAGCGATGCGCTTTCTTTGGTACAGACCTTTTCGGTTGTGTTCGTGATCTATGGTTTTCGCTTTCTTGCAGTATTCACGTCTATACTGCAATACTGTAGTATCCCGCGTATAAGCCCATGCTCATGCATAAGCCTAAGGTCAAACATCACGAAGCTTTGTCGTGCAAGCACATGGGCCTAGGTCGTACCAAGACAAGAATCCATAATGGACTCTTGGTCGTACCATGTATATGTACGTAGTAGATGTAGTTTCTTTGTACATTCAACACAATCATCGGTTGTTTTTGTTTGCACAGTGGCTTTCAGCAATATACTTCTCACTTCCTCGGTACTTTTTAATAGCACAATTTGGGTGTCAGCGTATAAGCCCATGCCCGCATGTAAGCCCATGTTCTTGTATAAGCCAACCGAATTGTCCTTGTGAAACAGATAACCCCATAGGTTTATCCGGGGGATTCTACGGTAGATGCTGTCTCACTGAGGGTGAAATGTGATGCTTCCATTTTCGATAATGTACTTGGTGCGTGAGGTGCCAAGCGGTCCTTGTGTCCTTTTTTCTCATGTGACATTATGATGTCACCAATGCCATTTACTTGATTTTGGTTTTGGATTGATTTACTTTTATTTTGAACAGAGGAAGGACAAAATGTTACGAGTTATGACTAACTGTCCACCAACGTAACCAGATCTTATACAGTCAGCGCGTGCGACAAAATGGCACAAAACTGACAAGGAGTACTGAGACATTCGGCGACCTGACACCTAGCTCCAACCTTTCTCCAAGGCGCAAACCAACAACCTTCCAACTTGGAAGGCTCAGGTTCGGAAAAGGTCCAAGAGGGGAAGGAAAGCGCAACGAAGAGCACGAGCTACGCATCACGGCAACAAAGAATGCCGAAAGTTACTGGATGATGACGAAACTAGTAAGACTATTGGACATACCGGCCTTACTACAACTCGACGACGCAAAGCAACAGACCACCCAACTTGGGAGGCTCAAGTTTACCGTATATTCTCTATTATAAGCACAGTCTCCAATACTAGCACACTGTGAGCACCTTTCGAAACATTATAAGCACAGTCTCTGTTATTAGCACGGTCTTGGTGGAAATCAATGCTGCATGCATGATATCTAGCATGTATTTCTTCTTGCTCTGTATGGATGTATTGGTTGAAAAAAATACAAGTGCAGTCTCCAATATAAGCGCGGGGTAGAGGGGTGTTGAAAAAATATAAGCACGGCGCTTATAATAGAGAATATACGGGTAAGGAATAAACATAGAAAGGGGAAGATAAGCGAAGTCGAATTGTGACAAACCGAAACGTCAACATCCTACTGAACTCCACTATCATGTATGATGGACTAGTTATGTGGCCGGTATGTCAAATAGTCTTACTAGTTTCGTCATCATCCAGTAACTTTCGGCATTCTTTGTTGCCGTGATGCGTAGCTCGTGGTCTTCTTCGTTGCGCTTTCCTTCCCCTCTTTATTATTCGAAAAAATATTGGAAAGATGTGGATGTAAAACTCGATTTTTTTGGGGAATGATATTATTCTCAAAAATGGATAGATTTGAAAAAAATCTAAACAAATTCAAAAAATCATCCAATGTGCGAAAATTATTCACCCGTTGCCATGGCAACAAGATGGCTGCCAAATTTATTCCAAGCAGGGAGTCGTAAAATACCGGTATTTTACGACTCCCTGATTCGAAGCATGTAGATGTTGGCATCAGGGAACCCTACAGGACATGTACCCGTGCATGCATGCACATCATCATACACTGCCGCCTGCCGGGCATATTTCAATACGGACAAGAGTCAGGTTACGTCAGGTGCGGGGCAAGGTCAAGTCTTGCCAGCAGAAGAAAATGCCTGCAGCAGGCTAAAGTTTACCTGACACTTGCAAAAATTGTTTTTGAAGAAAATCTGGCAAAAATCACGCCAAATTTGTTATTTCTGAAGAAAATCTGGCAAAAAAATCACGAAAGATGCATTTTTACAACGGGGATTCATTTTGACCCCCAAGATGCAAACATTATGCAAAACATAATGTCACCTACATGCCATATACCATGTGATGTCAACATCCCCATGTCATGTCACCATCCCCATGCCATGTACCATGTGATGCAGTGGCGGGTTTAGGGGGGGGGGGGGGGGCGCGGGGGGCACGCGCCCCCCCCCCCCCCCCTCAAAAATTTCGACCTAGGTTTCGAAAAATAATAGGCAGGGCGCTAGGGCGCCGGGTCGATCGAGCTAGACTAGGCTCGTCGGGGCGCGCGCGGCCTGAAACGATTGTCCAAAAGCGGTTGCACGGTCGAGCTGGTGTTGATTGTACACACTACAGACTAGTACAGTACAGTCTACAGAGTAGAGTCTACGTACAGTGAGCATGCACGGCGCGGCTACAGAAACACGGTGACCATGGTGACCTGACTGTGTACTGTTGAGTGTTGTACAGTGTGATCCCTGCTGCTGGGACGCGCTCGACGCGTCTTCAACGGTACAAACATCGAAGAAAAGTCTTCGATCGAGTCAACCAAAACACGATTCGAATGCCGAGGGCTCAGGCGATCATCCTCGTTCGAATCGTGTTTTGGTTGACTCGAAGGCTTTTCTTCGATGTCTCAGGGACATCCCAAAAGGCCAAGCTCTAGCCAGCAGAGCCTGGAATTTTTGTAAGGCGTTCCTGTGGCGGCGCAACTCCTGCTGCCGCTCCAACAGGAAACAGTGGGAGTGATGAAGTCGCTGTTATTCCAGTTGAACTTTCGGAGCGGACTGACAGTCACACTCCGCCAGACGCGGAAGAATCTGTTGTCAGGGAGTAGCCAGAACATGAAGAACAGCGCACAGTGACAAGTACCGCTGCCTATGTAAAGGATGCTTTGACTCTTTGAGAGCGGTGAGAAATTGTTGGACTCGCATAAATAATTGCAGTTGATTCGCTCACCTAACGGCAAATTTGAAGTTGACAATGTACATTGTTGCTGCGTGTACAGAAATACTGCTCGTGGTGTGTGAGATTTACGGCTTGTTGTTGTTGTTTATTTTACTTCACCCAATGAGCAGGCAGAGATGCCTTCTCACCTGCCCATAGGACAGGTTCTCACAGAGTGATGAAGGGATGATATGCAAGGGAAAAAAAGAAATGATATTATAATAATTATAAGACAGAAAGGACCAAAAGAAGAAAAGGAAAAATTTATATGAAGACAATTTCATGGAGTCAGAAATAGAAAGACAATAATTTCATGGAGTCAAAGAATAGAAAGACAATTTCATGGAGTCAGGAACACGTGGTTGATTTTATAGACATGCATGCACAAATGTGATAGATGAGAAGGTTGGAATTTATGGCAGATAATAAAAGTTTAACGAGGATATTCACAAAGTAAGTATACCAATGGCAGAAAGAGCTTTTCGGAAGGGACCAGGGACACGTATCACTCTAAAATCAGAGGGGAGAGCGTTCCAGAGAATGCTTCCCCGAAACATCATGGTCGATCGTCCCGCAGGCCCACGAAGGGAACTTGAAGCAAGTTCGACACTTGTCCCCGTGTGGTGCGCTGATCCTCCGGAACAGTCTCTGGGGCCGTTCGGGTGAATAACTGTTGAAGAAGGGGGCTACAGGAGGAGCTTCTTGACATCGGTTTTCAAAATGACCTGGGACAGTAGCATGATGTCATCTACCCCCGACCCATCCCGCCTTGATCCCGGCCGCAACCCCCCCCCTCAGCCAAATCCTGGACACGCCACTGTGATGTCACCATCCCCATGCCATGTACCATGTGATGTCGACATCCCCATGTCCTGTACCATGATGTGATGTCACCATCCCCATGTCATGTACCATGTGATGTCACCATCCCCATGTCATGTACCATGTGATGTCACCATCCCCATGCCATATACCATGTGATGTCACCATCCCCATGTCGTGTACCATGTGATGTCACCAACCCCATGTCGTGTACCATGTGATGTCACCAGTCATAGCACAGAAATGTTTGTGACAGTAAACAGCTTGTTTTTCATGATCCATTGCTTCTTGCCTCCCTGGGTAATTTCAAGAGTACATAACCCCCCAGAGTGTGCAACTCCCACATACCCTGTTGTCCCGACAGAATTTCAAGTTGACGTCATTATTTATGACGCAATGCTCCTTGCAGCAGTGATTTACAACATGTGTACGGGTGTCAACGCATCACACGTTTTTCTTTGCAATAATTTGTACAGGATCGATCGGCTTCGGTCAACCACAGGTTCCGGATTCGTCTGATAATCCGTGTACAGTGCGCATTGCATCATCAAAATGACGTCAACTTGAAATTCTGTCGGGACAGCACCCATAGTGGAGTTGCACACTCTGGGGGGTTATGTACTCTTGGTAATTTTCATCTACAGTAGCTGTTTCTGGCTAGTATCAGGTCTATCACACTTATCAATCGTCCTTATTGGCGTCACGCCATTGTGGAATAAAAGGAAAATAATAATAGTATGTCATGTGACCTGTGATGTCATCATGGGGAACAACAAGAACGCACTCCACTGTACAGCATCCACAAACACGAAAACACTCACCTTGGCCATTCCGGTGCCAGCCATCATTAGGAGCAGCATTAACAAAGAGCATCCATGTGCTGGTCAGCAAAAGCAGTGCACTAAGCACAACCTGTGTATGGAACACATCATGGCACAAGCAAATGCAACCATTACAACCGTGATCCCTTCCCAAGTGAGAAAGCAAGGCAAGGCGATTGGGAGAGACAGGGCACTGTGGCAAAACCTCACAGCAATAAAACCTTCTGGCAAAGTCCTGCTGGCAGGGCCACTATTCAATTTCATGGGTCTTTGTCATGGAATTATCCCCCTCCCCCCCCCCCCTCCCCCTCCTCCTCCTCTGCAAGACTCATTCCCCAACCAGCAGCATTGAAGACAGCCCTCGATCTACTCGACTTGGCAGAGCTTTATAACTCTGCATTCATCGGCCAATAGCGTGCACATCCCTTCTTTGTATCATATCGCTCTGTCCAATTTGAAATTTTCCTTCACCTTTGTCTGACTTGGCCACTGAAAAACCTAGTCTCTTCTTCTTCATCCTTTTTCTCCGTCTCTCCTGGGTTTATTCCTTGTTCCTCCCGTCTCTGAAGTCACACGGACTTGAAAATGTATCCTTCGTATTTTACGTAATCAAGTACTCTATTTCCTTGAACACCCGCCGCCCTTTGATTACCGTTATACCAGCCGCCCTTGAATAAGCGCCGCCAGCTTCTTTGGACTGAAGGTTAATCATAAACAAGTGCAGAGCAGTTCACAATTTATACACAGCTACGAGATGACCTTAGCTACGACGTCATGTTCCTTCACATGCAGCTAGTGTTACTATCGTTTCGGACAAAGGTATCAAAGACGATCTAAAGAAGGGAACAAATCGAACACGCCATGATGACGACCTCTCACAACATAACGGAGAGCAAGACGAGTTATTTTATTGACCACCAAAAAAGGCAATAGTACGCAAAACAAAGTAAACGGATGAAACGTAGGATGCACTAAGGATTGTCAAATCTACAAAATGAAGAACTCAGGGAGAACCAGTCTAGAAGAAAGTGGACACGGACGCTGTGAAAGGAACGAACGCAGAAGGAGAAATCAAACGGCAGAGAACAAAACTTGCGGCGTCCTTTTATAATATTTGTATCCAAAATTTTCTGCGTCGACGTCTTTTTGAAGCTCCTCCACTTCATCCCCGTCGCCATGACGGACTGCTGCTGAACATGCAACTAACTTGCTAGTCGACCCTCAAGCTCCCTCGCCATGATATTCTTTCCAGTGCAACAGGAAGAGGAAGAAGATGCACTAGCCTACAGTGTACTTGGAGAACAAAGGTTCAACAGTGCACATCGTATGTGAACTCTACGCATACAGCACGCACATTGTGACGTACAGCTATTTTTTCAGGGCTGCACCCGTTTTGCTAGTTTTGAATACAGGCCGCGGCGGCTGTTCAAGGAAATACGGTACTGCAAACCCCCTAATTTTAGCAACATATTAACTAACATATAAACTTTAGCGAATTTAGCAAATCAGTCAAATTCGCTAAGTTAGGGGTTGCGAATCAGCGTTTTTCTTTCTTTCTTTTAGTGGACAGTGCCATGCACCATCACATACATATGCAGAGCACTTCATACCTGTCTGTGCTACTGTCTAGTAACTCAGTTACCTTTCTTCTGAACATTTTTTCCTCTTTTCAATAGTACCAAGAGTACATAACCCAAGAGTGTGCAACTCCAGCTATGGGGTCTGGGACGGCAGAACTTCACATCACGTGATGAACCCGTGCACTCTAGTGCATGATAGATACTGGGTTGTACGCAGCCCAGCTTTGGGTACAACTCTCTTGTGGTCACTTTGCACTGTTTGCCAGCATAACCTTTTGAACCATGTCACGTGATGTGAAGTTCTGCCGTCGCAGCACAGCATAGAGGTTGTGCAGGCAGTTGCACACTCTTGGTTATGTACTCTTGGTAGTACACATACTGTATATCTACATGTGCTAGTACTCCGGTTGCTCACGTTACCCAAAACACTGTCTACTCCGATCGCTAGAATAAAAGGTCGCTAAATCGTCGACAATTCGAAATCGCTACTTCCTCCAACTTATTAAAATGTGCGGTTAAATTCATCGACCTGTCCCGCTCGATCTACCTGTCATCTCACGAAGTAAAACAGAGACACAACTCCTCACCTATTGCAGTTGGTCATAGATTAGTTTGGAGAAAAATGGCAAGCACTAATAGCAAGGGGAAGCGATCTCTGAAGCGCTAAAAGCATGTCGCTGGGAAATTTTACGGCGTGAGTACACCTCTCACAACGCCTAAGGCTGTTCGGAAGTGTGGCGCTGGTGTTTCCACTCGGAATCGATGGAAGATCGTGAGCGAATACAACAAGTTCGCCAGAGGCAGTAGCAGGCTGCCTCCTGGTGGGATGCAGCGCTTGTTGGAGAAGTTTCCCGGCCAAAACTTGAGCGAGTGCAGCGCAAAGCGGAGCGATCCGACTCACGGACGGGTACGGTAGCTAGTGAAACTGACATTCTTGAGCCAGTGACTGTGAATGCACAGGAGTATCGGTGTGTCATGCTCAGCAAAGACGGCGTGTTTGACTCGATGCATCAAAAGCTATGGTGGTTTCACCATAACTCAGGAAAGCCTGAGGCTGGCCAGCAGCTGATCTCTCAGCACGACCGTGTGCGGCCCCACACTGCAAGAGCAAACCTGAAGCGATGGTCATTGCACGGGAAAAAGAAAGGATTCAACATCGTTGTTGCAACTCAGCCGCCTCAATCGCCCGACCTAAATTGCAAAGACCTGGTGTTCTTTGCCAGCTTGCAGTCCCCTCAATCGCCCGACCTAAATTGCAAAGACCTGGTGTTCTTTGCCAGCTTGCAGTCCGACACTGAGCTCGTCGTGAAGGAGAATATCGCCGATTTGATGGAGGCTGTGAAGAAATTTTTTTAAATGATGGGCCTGAGTACTCTGCGGAGCGGATGGAAAGTGTATGGAGGTGTTTCTTCGCATCTTTCAAAGGCATAATCGAGAGCCGCATTGACAACACTTATTCACAGCCCACCGGAGCATGGGCAAGCTCGAAGACGAAATCTGCTTCGAACCGCCACGACCTAAGCTTTCCAATGCGACTTGTGACGAGCGCTGAGAAAGTCCGTGATGAAATGGCCGCTGAAAGTGCAGCACCCAGCGAGGAAACCGCTGAATCCACAGACTCCTCGTCAGATGAGAGCAACCAATTTTACTCTCAATGTGATGGACATGCACGTAGCTGTTGCTGTACAAAGTATTTTGAACACACAATCCGTCTCCGTGCTGTACTACTGTTAGCTGCTCCCGGCTAATGATGCCCCCTCACACCGGAACACAGGGGTTTTATATGATTGGATAATTAGAAGTATTCGAGAAGAGTGTAGACAAGGAGAACAGGACAACGACAACTCAAGACTAGACTACAACAGAACTGGAGCATGCGCTCTTCTATGTGAGTGCTCATTGCCAAGGGGAACGAGCGGGAAATACAAATAGTGAGTATTCAGGTCGTAGCATACATACACCTATTACACTGTGCCCCCCTAGCTAAAATTCACGTCCACGGGAATGAACGAAATACCTAGGAAACAACAAAAGAAAACAAACCAAATAATAAACTCAGTCCAGGACATAGTCAGCTAGTCGAGCAGGTGCAGTGCGGACACGGCCAGAACGACGAGAAACAGGAGAAGAAGTACGGACCGGATCAGACGACGGTGGCTGTAGCGGCGGAACGCAGCGCGGCAAATCATCATCAGGCAGCGTAATCGGGTCAGGACGAGAAGCAGTAACGGCAGGCGGTTGACAGTCGGGAGGACGGGAAACGGCTTCAGGCGGACGAACAAACTTGCCACTGGCAGCATCATATCGGGTGAAACACTCAGACAGAGCAGGATCAGCACACGGAGCAAGAAGACTCTGAGGCTTGAAACAATCAGGTGACGACGGTCCAGCGGCAGAGGAATCAGGAGGACGAACAAAAACGGCCGGAGGAAGAATCTCGGCAGCCGGAGGAACATCAGCAGCAAGTGGCATTTCATCAGCAGCTGACAACGGAACATCACGGGCAAGAGGCGGCGGACTCGGCGGAGGAGACGGCACATCGGTCACCACGCGGGACATAGCATCGGCATTCAGATGTTGGCGACCTGGACGGTGGACGACTCGGAATTCATATTCGGATAAACAGTCAAGCCAACGTGCTTTCCGTCCGCGGGGTTCCTTCAGGTTCCGGAGTGCAGTCAACGCAGTATTGTCCGTCCTGGCAACAAATGGTCGTGCCAACAAGTAGTGCCTGAAATACTCCGCAAAATAGACCAGAGCAAGGGCCTCACGATCGCTAGCATCGTAGTTGCGCTCAGCTTTCGTCAGTACACGGCTGCCGTACCCAATTGGTCGCTCAGTTCCATCCTGGATCTGACTGAGGACTGCACCAATCGACACATTGCTCGCATCGGTGTCCAGAATGAATGCACCTGCTGAAGCTTCAAACTGGGGGTACGCCATCACCGGCGCACTGGCAAGCGAACGCTTCAGAGCCTGGAACGCCGCTTCGCAAGCTTTCGACCATGCAAAGCGAGCATTCTTGCCTGTCAGAGCAGTCAGCGGAGCAGCACGCTGGGCGAACCCACGGATGAAGCGGCGATAATATCCAGCGAAGCCAAGGAACTCGCGGACAGCTGTGACAGATTTCGGAGTCTTCCAGTTCCTGACCGCGACGAGTTTGGCTTCATTCGGGGAGATGCCCTCCGCTGACACGCGGTGTCCTAAGAAAGTGACCTCCTCCTGGAAGAAGGAGCATTTCTTCAGATTGAACCGCAGTCCAGCGGACCGAACTCGCGCGAACACGGGCAGCAGAATCTGGAGTTGGCCAGACAGCGTTTCGCTGGCATTCAGGACATCATCAAAGAACACACGGCAGAATGGCTGGACCGGTGTGTTACATAAGCCACTCAGGACTGCTTCCATTACGCGCTGAAATGTCGCTGGGCCATTCCTGCAGCCCATCGGCAGAACATTAAACTCAAACAAGCCCAGTGGCGTGGTAAATGCCGTCTTAGCCTTGTCGCTTCCT